GGGGCAGAGGCGCCCGGAGAGCCGGGACGGGACGGGACGGGGCTGCGCTGCCGTCCCGCTCGCCCCCCACGCAGCCGGGGATGGGGGTGCGGAGAGGGGGCGTCGAGCTGGGCTGGTTCCCGCCTGCCCTCGGCCTCCGGGTCAGCATCGCCGCTGCCGCCGGAGTCGTTTGATCTCCAGCACCTGTGCTGAGCCCCGGGGGGCTGCGGGGCGGGAAGGGGGCACCCAAACGCCGCCCTGCTGGACAGGAACTTTCTGTCTCTGTCAGTTCTAAGAGATGTTTCTTCTTGTTTCTTTTTCCTCAAGTGAAAAATCTGAAATGACGTGGGAATTGAGATTGTTGGTATTTCTCGTCCCTTAACAGCAGAATTTTTATTTTTTTTTCCCCAAAAGGGATTGTGTTTTTTAAGGTCTGTCGACAACTTTTCTTAAAAGGACTTTTTTTCATCACTGGTGGACAATTACTTGCCACTTAGCCCGGAAAATTATTCCCTAAAAGCAGTAAACAAATCTTTATTATAGGTTTATGATTGTGTTGAGTCAGTCTGCAGTTTTTGGTTAGGTATGGGGTTTTTTGTTGTTATTGGTTGGGGGGTTTTAAACTTGTTTTGTTTTTGGTTTTATTTTGTTGATGCTTGACACAAAAAAAATCCCACAGGGGCTCAGAAGTCTTGTATCCAGTTACTCTTATTTTAGTATGGTAGATATAAAGATGCTCTCAAGCAGCACACTTCTGAGAAGAAGGCGTTTAAGGAAAAGCTACTCGTGATAAATAGCGAAATAGATTCTTGGCTTGCAAGTTACTCATGTGACGATGTTGAAATAATAGCAGAACTGGAGAAAAGGGTTTTGTGCTTTAGCAACTGACTTAAGTGCTTACACTTAGTTTTATTTTTCCACTGTAAGTAAAACCAGGGGTTTTTTTAACTGATAACCTAAGGACAGCATACATAGTAATGTAATTTCTTTTGGTACCTGGATTGTATAGAATGATTTAGAACATTACTTGAGTGCCCACCACAGATATGAATACAGGATTTGGGGGATAAAAAGGAAGAATGAATTCCCTATTGGGAAATGCGCACCATTTTTGTCAGTGATGGAAGTATAACACTTTGGGAATACTTTTTGGAAATTGATGTGTAATTTAAAAATCAGCTTTACATACTCTAGATGCTGCTCTCATGTAAACATTTAGTGTTTAGAGTTTGCTAGATATAGGGAAAAATGAAGGGTCTGCAGCCTTTCTCAAGCACTAAAAGCACAGAACTGAGAATGTGCAGGTTATAGTCACTTTTTCTTGTTCAGAACTTTTTGGGTAGTAGCGAAACTCTTGAAGATACTAGTATTGTGCTATAGGTTGGGAATATTTTGAAGAACAGAGCAGGGCTGGTACTTATGGAAAGCTGCATTTGGTCTAAACTCTACAGATGCTTTATGCATGAAAACGTTATCAGAGAGTGAATTACTTTAATCATGGTGCATATTTGTCTGTTTCCACAAAAGGCTAGAGCATCTAGGGGCTCATGTTTTTCTTCAGAAAGTCCCTCAGGACTCGTTTCTAACTTTACCTGACTACACATGTAATCTCTCGGTTCCTTTTATGACTGGACTGTTTCTTTTCTCTCCACCCCCACTAATTCAGCACCAAAAAACCCGATCAATAGAAGTCCTGCTGTGGGAAAAAATAGAAGTCTCATTTATAATAAAGAGTAAATATTTTCAGGCTTTAACAGCCTTTAGCTTCAGCACAGAGGAGGAAGGTGGGATGCTAGGGGTTAGAAAACACCGCTAGCATCTTTTATTTCTTATGCAGGTTGGAAAAACCTGACCTCTCAGTACTGTGGATACAAAGCCTGGGTGCTCTCCGCTTGAGTGGAGCTAGTGACTGCAAGGTGTCCTACCCCGCTGCCCTAATGTTAGGGGTGCCATCAGGCTGACTTGAGGCTGGGTGAACTGGTGTAGAGTGCTGCTGAAAGTTGCTGTGTCCATCCTGGGGAGGTGGGGGAGCAGGGTGCTGCTCTGCCACCATCACCCCAGGGGTTTGCAAAGGAACGCGTTGCATCACAGGCACTCCCCTTGCCTTTTCCTATGCTGCATCTGCTGAGCTGTCACGTCCTGCTTTTCGCACTCTCAACATGTGGTCTGAGTTTCTTTGCCAAGTCAGCTGCGTCATTTTACTCGGTTTTCTTCAGTGTAAGAGCTGACGTAAATATTCTAACCCATGAGAAATATGTGCCACAAAGCTTCCACGTCCTTGCAGGGAGGGTAAGAAAGATAATGATCATAACCAGAAACTGTACCTGGGTAAATGGCACTGTTTCAGGGCCTCAGGGGATCGAGTCTGCTACTTGTCCATGAGATAAATAGGTTGTGCTTGCTTTTTTTTTTTTTTTTTAAAGTATCTTTTTGTCTGGTTGTTATCTTTTGCCAAAAATAGTTGGTTGAAGTGGATTATTCAAAAAGGAAATGAGAACTAGATAGGGCGTGGTCTACTCAGTTCTGCTAGAGGAAAAGATCTTTCTCTTTGCTATTAGCAATGCCATGAGGCAGGGAGAATAAAACTCAGGACCTAACCATGGAAAAAATATTTTGCACTACTACTTGGAAATCTGGATGATCATACAGTAGCTTGATTCCTGTTTGAGCTGTCATCTTTTTCTGCAGAAAAATCCCCTGTTATCTCTCAGCCTTGTGATTACTAGTTTTTCTTTCCATGAAGCCTATGAAGCAAATGATCATATGAGTGTAAACCAGTCCTTCTGCTTGAGCTGGTATGCCATGCCTTTATTTGTTTTGCTTTTTTTAATAGACTGCTACCAAACGCTGTGAAATTATCATTGGTGGTAAATACGGGTTCAAGAAACATGACGACTTTAGGGATTATATTGAGACGTTTTTGATGGTTTTGTGTGATGTAACCAAGATAAATACAAGGTAAGTGCTCCAGACATTTACGTGTTGAAAACTATTTGTGTAAGTATTGTAATGACTGACCGCGCGTATGTTTCTAACAAATATTCAAGTTAAATTCTCTCTGGCTTAAAGTAGGAATCTGGGATGGGAAGGGACTTTTTGGGATGTTGAACCCAGTCTTGTAGTGAAAGTCTACTTCAACAAAATGGTCAAGATTTATCTTAAAAAGTTATTGTTAGGACTAGTGAGCTCAGAACAAACTGCTGGAAATGGCTTCAAAAACTCACTGTTTTATGATAACTCAATTTCTGACTTCTGAAACTGGTGAAAATTTCAGTTCATCTACTTCTGATCAGTTATTTGCAAAAAAGATCAGTTGTATCTCGGGGTGGTGACTGACTTGTGCTTTGTAGAGTGATACTAATAGATGCTTATTGCTAGTGGAACAATCTTGTTCCATGACCACCTTCTCTTTCTGGGCACATCACATAAATTTCTTATAAAAACTTGGGGATAAACTAATTGAGTACCTTTATATTTCTATTTGTCATTCATTTCCAAATAATGAATTTCTTCATTTGTATTGAGGGTGCTCCTTCATTTTTGCATATCTAGAAACTTGTTAATGCTTCCTTACTGTGCCAGTTCCTCTAATGAAAAGCTTTATCAAAGTAAGTTATCAATGTAAATTCCTTCCTGACAGGGGAGGTTCACTAATAATTTCTAAATAAAATTTCACTAGAAAAGACTTCTTCTCTATTTCTTCTCCACTCAGTCTACTAATTTTGATTTTCTTCATAATACAAATTCATAATTTTAAATCTAACTGTATAATGATGAGCTCTCTATCACCCTGATCACTTCTTTTCGTCTTACTTTGCTAAAACAAATTTAAGTGAAAAGTGTTTTCAGGTTTGTTTATTTCTTTTTTTCCAGGAGTGGTTTTGCAAAGTGGACAGTAATGGAGTATATGAGCACGGGTAGTGATAGCAAAGAGGAGATTGACTTGTTGCTAACTAATTTAAATATGTCTGAGGTGATAGACATCATGGAAAACCTTTATCCAGGTGGAGACCTTGCAGTCTATGAAGACAGCTTAATTGCAATGTGTGAAGAGGCAAATCAAAATGAAGAACGTGCGGAATCCTTATTATTTTGTGAAAGGGAGGTTTCTTTGATGTCCTCCGTCAAATACGGGACTGTGGAAGACCTGCTTGCTTTTGCAAATCAGGTGTCTAACACTGCCAAACAATTTAAAGGATGCAGACAGCAAGAATCTGGAATCCTCTTGAATATGGTATGTCTCTTTTCTTTTTTACTTGAAAATTAGTAGACCTTAGGAGTTAGAAACTTTTAATGAATCTAAATAAAGATCACCCCCAGTTCTGGGAGTAACAGTCATGCTGTTGTTCCATGTGCAAACCTGGGACTGGAGGGCATCTCTGAGGTCAAGTCTAGCCCTTGCAGTGTCAGGCAGCTGTGGAGAAGGGTCTGTTGTTCAGGAAGATCCACTCTATGTTGCCTCTCAGTATTCCTGGAGATTAGAAAACATTTGCCCACATTGAATACAAACTTGAGACATGCAGTAAAAAAGCAAAAGCTACAACTATGATATGGCTTACAGGTTACCCTTGCAGGTAAGGGTTTTCCAGTGCCTTGTGTTCATGCAGTAAAAAGTTCATTATGCAAAACTCCCAAATAAAAGGTCTGGGATCTATTTTGGTTTAGTTACTGAATTCAGTCTATCTGCACAAAATGTAGAAATTAGTAATGTAAGTAAAAAAAGCATATAGTATCAACTGTGACTTTCAGAATTACAGTATTATGTCATATCACACACTGCTAAATTCACGTATAGATGCATTGTTTTGAGCTATGTTAAATTTTTTTTTTTAATGATTTGTGTTCTGTACAAATTAGTGATACTGGACTTCTAGTTAAACTGAGTTGCTTTGGAAACAATTATGAAATGGAAGTTTATTCATACACATGCATGCTCTACATCCGTCGTCTTAAATATCTTGCATGTAATGTGTTTATATGTGAACATTAGCTTGAGGCTTGCTGGTTACTAAGGTGTGAAAGAGCACAGAGTATTGCTTTATTCCAACGTGGAGGGAGCATTACACTATTGCAAAACAGTCACTTTTAAACTCTGTAACACTGAAATTACACTAATATTAAATGTTTCCTATACTTAGGATAGACACTGCTCTACATACTCGTGGTTATTTTGCTTGCATATTGTTTCTACAGATGCATGCAATTGGTATGAACCAAGTACTATTAGGTGCATGTGATCCCATTAAGCAACTGATGATTGGAGGCAGGGCATTACCTGTACATGCATTTCAGCAGGTGCATCTACATTGTAAATGTCTGCAGCATTTTAGTTAGGATCGGGAGTGTCTGTGATTGCCTGGTGACCCTCACTGACTGCACCGTGGCTTGTGTCACGAAGGGTCTTGGAGCACACAAACTGGATTTCTTTTAGTTGAAACTAAACTGGAGCATGGGTTACAGCCACAAACAAGCATTCACTCACCAGGACCAGACCAGGAATTAGTCCTGAAAGCCTCCTGAAAGTGTGAGTAGTGTGGTGGTTGTTGCTCTCTTGCTCTGCAAATCCACTTCACCCAGTCTGTGTTACTTCTAAGACAGGTGTAACCCATGTGGGATATCTAGTCTCAGCCTCTTGGAAGTGAGCAGGCAAGATGAATGGATTGCTAGTCTTTACCTTGGTTCTGCTAAGTAGAGGAGAGGCTCATCCTGCATATCAAGCAAGATACTTTTAATAAAAAAGACACACACCCCTCAACAGCTATGAATTTACAATCCTCAAAAATTAAGAACTTTGAAGAATTAACTTATTTCACATAGATACGTCACAAATGACAGTTTGAGCAGTCAAGAAGTTACTTCCCTATTTGAGAAACATGAAGATGGTTAAAGCACAGAAAGATCATGTGTGTAACATCTTAAAAAGAAATCTACACCAATTAATCTTCCTAATATGCTGTTATCTTAAAAAGGGTAGCTGAAGAGCTCAGTGTATGAGGCCGTGTGACAGACATAAAGTGATAGATATCCTTGATCTGCTTTTACATATCTTCAAGAATCTTGATAAAGTAGCAGTAAACAGGTTAATGATATTTCAGATGCTGGCAATACTATATATCCCCAAATTAATTAGAAGCATATTCACAGTAACCATTGCTAATTCTTTATCTGAGAGAATATTAAGAGACTGAAAAAATATCATCAAACCTCAAGCAGTACTCACATGGCTGTAGTTATGATTTTGGTCTCTCTGTGTCATGTACAGAGGGAGGGACCTGTTTTGGCGGAAGATTTAGAGCAAGATACTGACTTAGACACTGAAGAGCTTCCTGGAGAAACCTTCCTCAACTTGTGGATGGTATAGAGAACCAAAGCTCCCAGCATTACCCACCTAAGCAGACAGTTTTTTTTTTTTTTTTTTTTGAACTACAGTATAAAACTAGAAGGTGTCTGCTAAAATCACAACAGACTTCTTTGACCTTTTACTAAGCAACAGAAACTCTGATACGAGACAGAAAATTAAAATGTGTTCCCCTAGCAGTACATGTGATATTAGGAAATGCTGAAACTCTTGCTCACATCATATAAGATAGCCTGTGAGTAACAGGTATGTGGCATAACAAGTTAGCAGATTACAGGAAGGCCAAACATGTGCAGGTAAACCTAATAACAAGAGGTGGATAATTTCATTAACCCAGCTGCTGTTGTTGTTGTTTCAAGAGAATTAATTGCAACTTACACTTTGTAAGTTAGTCACTGGAGAGAAATGTGGATGCCTGGGTTGTGAATGAATGCCACACCTCACATGCTGTTCCCATTTGGTGTTTCTAAATAAAGACTGCTGAACAGATCGCATGTATCATGCACATATATGAGTGATATTTTTTTTCCACTACATGTGTAAAATAATTAGGCTTGAAGTAGTTTTAACTTCATTGTGATTTTTTTTTTTTTTTTTTCAATTTAACTCCGCAGATCACACCCAAGAATGGGCGCTATCAAATTGATTCGGATGTGCTTCTGTTTCCGTGGAAGCTGACTTACAGGAACATTGGCTCTGATTTTATTCCTCGGGGAGCTTTTGGGAAGGTGTACTTAGCCCAAGATAGAGAAACTAAGAAACGAATGGCGTGCAAACTGGTATGTTCGTTCAGTAGTTTTATTTCTGAGCAAATATTGTATGACAGTATATTTTCAAATATGTCTGCATCAAATTTCACTGTTAGGCTGATGATTGTCTTGGTTTTGTTGTCCTACACAAGGTAGGAAAAATGCACATTTTTGCTAACTTACTGTAATTTTTTGGCTCTGAGTCTGCAAAAGTTTCAGCCTTTTGAAAGTATCTAGAAGTGTGTGTAACTGCTGTGGGCGGGCATGCTGTGGTGCAGGGGTAGAAGAATTTCCACTTGTCCCTCACAGTGGAAAAATATCAGCATGAGACCACATCCCTGCTGAAGGTGATAGCAAAACCCTGTTGCTGCTGATGGTTTTAGGATCTTTTCCTTCTACTGGGGTCTTCAGACATAAGTTTTCTTTACTCCAGTGCCATTAATGTCCCTGAGAGCTCAGCTTACCTGCAACTCTCATTATGTTTTGGGCACTGACTGAGCATAAGGTTGTGAGATGTCTCAAGAAAACTGCTGAGCACCTCCTGTTTTTATACAAGCCGATGTTTTCTTTCAACTTTACCTTTCAACATACTGGTCTGAATTGAGTAGTAAATATTTAGGGACAGCAAAAGCTCAGCTGGGACACTGCTTTATATCCCCCCACTCCTGAATAAGCACCTGCATTACTTGTGTGTGAAAGAGTTGGGAAGGCTGTTGTATATCTTTCCCTTGCAGGCAGTGTATCCACATGGAGACAGATTTAGTTTGCCACTCCTGCATAACCAACTGCAGAATTAAAGTTTCCTAATGTTTCTGAAAATACAAACAGTATTTTTTATTGCAGTAAAAATATTGGCCTCTTATTTGGTTAATTGCCACAACTCTTAGGGAAGGAGAATATAAAGAGCAGTAGTAGCCTTTCTGTGTGTAAGCAAACACTGCTTTTTATTGTCTTGGCAATCTGCCGCCAGTACTTTTTAAAGAAATACAGTGCTGCTGGGTGCTCACTTTAAAGCAGGTTTAATTTCTTGTAAGTCATAGTGCTGGTAAGGATTGAATCGAGGTAATCAGTAATCGTCCTGAGCATGGTTAGTCAGTAAACTGTGCTGAGCACTACAAGTGCTGATCCACACATCGGACAGGTGTATAGTTCTGGTAGAGCAGATGAGACTGCACAAAGCTAATGGAAAAAGCAGTGGGGTTTAATCTCCTTCACCAGGAAGTTTGCACAGTGCTTTTGCGTAACCAGCAGATTTTGACGGGAATAACTGTTGCTACATTGCTTTTTCTGGAAGACTGCACTTTTTATTTGGGCATGATTCCAGAAGCTCTCTCATCTTTAAACAGGATGTATCTCAACTGGGAAGGAAGAACAAGTCGCAGGATCAAACTAAAGCTCTGTATTTTAACAAGTGGATAGGAGTGCTTTGCTTCCTTCTTCCATTTCAATCTATAGGATAACTAGTGTTAGTATGGATAACTTGTTTCTTGAGCTACTTTTCTGTGGTTTTGTTTCAATGTCCTAGGTCCCAGTGGAACAGTTCAAACCATCGGATGTTGAAATACAGGCATGTTTCCGTCATGAAAACATTGCTGAATTATACGGTGCGATTTTGTGGGATGAGACGATCCATCTTTTTATGGAAGCTGGAGAGGGAGGATCTGTCATGGAAAAGCTGGAGAGTTGTGGTCCTATGAGAGAATTTGAAATCATTTGGGTGACAAAGCATATTTTGAAAGGACTTGACTTTCTCCACTCCAAGAGGATTATCCACCATGATATCAAACGTATGTGTGTGTAATTCTTGGGGTGCTTTCCGGTCCAGGCCGGGCTGGAGCTCTGGTGGAGAGCCTGGGATTGAGCTAGGGTGTGCAGCCTCGCATCTCTGGGAAGGAGGGTCCATTAATGCTCAAAAAATGACAAGGTTCTGGAGATAATTATTTACATTATTTATTAATTCACTTCAGTGGAGAGGATGATTCAGAAGTCATAGTTCATTTTCCTTTCTTCAGCAACTCAATTTGAAATAAAACCGTAAAGACAATGAGCAAAATAATCAGTCTGTGTTAAGCCAGAAGTTTCCCTCTTTCATGCAAATTTGTCCTGAGTGCTCCCATGCCCACATTCCTCTTGCACCTTCTTTTAGGTTATGTTTCTGCATGGCTGTTCCTCGGTTTGAGACACTTTGAAACTAACTACATCATTTTTACTGTTTTTTTTCTTTAAACAATTACTGCAAATTTTAGTATATATTTGCTTTTCAAAGGCTCTGGGTATTAACATGTATAAATAATCAAACATATTGTTATTAAACCTAAATTAAATAATATTAAATTGCTTTAAAATTTAATTTTAATACATTATGTTTAATTCAATATTAAATACTGTTTCTCCCAGCACCACCTTCCCCCGCAGACAGATAAATTCTGCCTTTCTAGTAATAGTGCTTCTGATGAAGATGTATCTCTTCTACGAGTTAATTTTTGCTAAACCTGAAGGTTTAAAATAGAAATATTCAAACTGAAGTGCTACAATAAATAGTTGACAGAAGACAATTATCAGGAAATGCTAAATTTTTATCTTGGTTTTGAATTTTTTCTTATTTAATGTGAGTCAGTACTTTAGATGTAAGCCTTTGAGATTGACAACTATAAAACTGCTTAGTTTTTCCCTTAGTTGTGCTTTCTTACTTGTGGCAAGAGTCTTTCCTATGGGTTTATTATAATTGCCAGTAACAATGACATTAATTAAAATATTTAAAAAACAAACCAGCCAAAACTCAACCCATGACATCCAGATACTGGATAGAAGAACCAGCCCATTTTGAATGTGGTGAATGTTAGTGTGTTTTGCTTTTTCCAGCCTTTTTTTCTGCATTACTGGGTGCAGGGCAGGAGGTGAGGTGGAAGCTATCTGGGGCCAGTGGCTGCCAGGCCTGGAGACATCTGGGTGCAAACCCCCATTCAGGGGGGTGAGCTGGGTAACCCAGGCCTTTAATGGCAGCTGTGCCCACTGCCTGACAAGGCAGCCTCTGCTCGAGGGAGCCAAGGTGTGTGTTTTCCCCTGCCAGGCAGAATCTATAGAAAAGGCTGTTTCCCAAACATCTGTTGATTTCTTCCTCACTGCATCAGCTGCTCTTGAATCTCTGTTCTGCTGACCAGGAGGAGATGGGGATTTTACTGAGAGGAAGACTGCCCTGAGCCGCAAAGGGGAGGAGGACTTTCTGTTGGCTCTTAAGAGCAGCTCAGTGCTGGCACTCATTTTAATCCCTGGTTGAAAAGCAGTTAGATTTAAGGTTATTTGGTGGGGGGAGCTTTAGTCAAAACCATCTGAAGCTGGAGCTGGGTACAGTCACAAGCGGTTAGCAGAGCCTGCTGTGCTGTGGCAGTGTGACACTGCACTGCCTTTATTTGGTGTTTAAAATCCGTATCTTCAAAGATATCCCTAAAATTATAAATTTATTTATAAAGTTTTGTAACACTGGTAAGGAGGCAGGTATGCGAAGGGGATTGCTCCAGAAACAGTACCACTGAAATCAAGCCTGTGTCTTCCCACTGGATGGTCATGGTGGGCACTGTTGAGAGAGAAAATGACCCAGTTTCCTCTGGGAGAAAATGTGTTTCTGTTCTGTAACTCGGAGACTTCTTTTGTCCGCGTCTTCTAAGACAGAATACAATAATTTCTCAAGGCTTAACACAGAGCACTGCCTTCATAAATTTTTGATTGGAAATACAACTGCAATGAAATCCTCTGAGTACAAAGTTGTGCCTTAGGCAGAGTTTTATGAAGGAAAGTGAATTAAGCTCCTAGATATTGCTGCAATTCAGTGGAAGTTTGGAACTTGCTGCCTTGTATTACTTTTGCAGCCATACTCTGTCCTCTTTTGTCACTCTGAGCCACTTTCACTGACCTGTGCATGAGACTGGTGTGACTGCTGTAGAGGGGCCTCATTTCCCCTCTACTTCTGTCTTCATTTGAATCATTAGTGTAGAGAAGCCTCTTGGTAACCAACAGTTATGTTGTTCATAGCCAGACCTGCGCAGCATGCTGTCTACCTTGGAGGCTGTTAAACATCTTCAAGCCTTGCTGTGCTGAGGTGTCTATCAGTCTTCCACCTTCCTTTCTTACCCTCAGTCATTTTCTCTCTCTCTTTTTTTCTTTCTTTTTTTTTTTTTTTTTAAGCTAGGAAAATGACCAAACATTGATTCTTCTTTTACATAAACCAGTCCGGTTTGATTTTTGAGACCTGATTTAAAATTGGAATCACTAACAGACCTCTTCTGGCTACGAGAAGGTTTGTGTTGGTTATAGAGACTGGTTGTGCTAATCTCCCCTTTCAAGCTAACGTCCGAATGAAACAGGCATGTTGTGCTAGAAACTTAGATGTTGTCATTTTTGTTTTTTCTTTTAGCAAGCAACATTGTCTTTATGTCAACTAAGGCTGTTTTGGTGGACTTTGGCCTAAGTGTTCAAATGACTGAAGACATTTACTATCCCAAAGACCTTAGAGGAACAGAGGTAAGAAGCTGGAGGATCAAAAGCCCTTATGTTGTATTATTACTCCCCTCGTTATGATGCTTAGGCTCAGATTTGGAGCTTGAGGGTAGAAGCTTGGGCAAAAGAGTTTATATTAATGCTTGCTTGTATTATAAATCTCAATTATTTTTATTTTTGACTTGCCAAATGGAGAATCAGGTGTTAACACTTGAAAGCCACATCACCTTCTCTGCAGTTGCATTTGTTAGTGATTATTAAATCTGAAGTCAAAGAGAAATTGGGGTTCACTGAAGTCAAGCAAAGGAACAGTACTCTGAGGAGGGTTATCTGCAGTGCATCAGCTACAGTCAGAGACACTTCAGACAGGAATTTGTTCTTTGCTCTAGAAAAGATTTCTTCTGAAATATCAGCTGTGGACTGGGGTGACCTGCTCATCGCAGTAGTTTGACTCCTTCTTTGAAACCACAGAAATTACAGGCCTCTGGGTTTCATCCCTTAGCATTTCTAAGCTCTGTTTCCCATCTACATGTAACCCTCTTGTCCTTTGGGGGTTGTGCATAGCATGGTTGATGATTATCTGGTAAACTTGCGTAGACATTACAGTGATAAAGGTGGGGGCCTTTTAAATGGTCTCAGTGACTTTGACTCTGAACATGCACAGGGGTCCTGCATGTCACTTGGGCTACACCAATACCAAGGTGTTTCCAGGGCTAGAGCTTTAGCAAACAACCAAGCAGCAACAATTAGCTTGGATAGCTGCTGCAAGTGTGGCTTTGTATTCTCTCTGTTGCCAGAGGAGGTTGTTTACAGGAAACGCTTCAGCTGAAATGTTGGCACTTACCATTTTGATAGTCTTCCACAGCATATGCGTGTGTTTAGTGGAGATACGTGTATAACTGACAAAGAGCATTTCACTCCTTGAAATGGTAGGATAAAACAGATTTTAGAGAATGTCAGGCTTGTTTGTTTTTTGTTTTGTTTTTTTTTTTAAGATATTTAGGAAAATACTTGAACATTTATTTTCACTGTCTTTCTAGTCAGGGGAGTTAAGAGCTTAAAATGCTTACTATACTGGAAGCAATATGCTTTCTGGCACTTCATGTATGTGCTTTGTGGGGTTTTTGGCTTGGTTTGGTTTTTTTTGTTTAAGGGGGCTTTGTGTGCTCTTAATGAGAATAAGAAAAATGGTGGAAATGAGTTGGAAGCCCTGGTAAGGTATTTCCCAAGGATGGACATGTATGTAAACAGGAAATTTCCAGGTTTGTGGAGTGGACTGGTTGTGATCCATTCCTGGTTGTTGGAGGACAGGCCAAGTTCATGTGGGTGAGAATAACGGTGAAAAACAGTTCTTCATTTAGTAGGAAGGAAATTATTCCACACTGCTGAGCACCTGTAGTCACATCCTTAGAAAGTGGATAATCCTTGCAACCCGGAAACATGGCGGTGCTTGGTGTTTGCTGTCTCAGGGGAGAGGTAGCCAGTCTTGGGACCATCAATCCTGCTGTTCTGCTGCAGCATCGCAGGCCAGAAGTAAGGTTGCAGAGAGAGTGCTGTGAAAGGAGATTTTCAAATACCAGTCAAAGACTCTTAGAGACACCATGAGTGCTAGTCTATAGCTTTTTCTGCTCAGCCTTTCTCCTAGGCATCTTGTCTACCGTGCCTGTGTTCAGCCCTGTGAACACTTGTACCTAATCCAGTCACCCACAAATTCCCCCTGTAGTCTTTGATAGCACTGGCTTTCCTTGTTTTTTCAAAGTAAGATCTTGACCCTCCAAAGTCCTCCCGAGTGTTGTACCCCTTCCTTATTATGCAGCCTTAAGTGGGGCAGTTGCCCAGGAGTGCTGTTCCTGCATGTAGTTGTGCAGCCCCTTGTTTAGGTCTTTATCACTGCCATGCAGCATCATGCCTGTGACCTGGCTGGTTTCTCTTGCATCTGGTATTGGCAGGGACTCATATCCACAAAGGAAGCTGCAGCTGGAGTTATCTTTCTCTTGTGCATGTTCTCCACCGGGAGTTAAGGATTTTTATTTGCTTCTGTAACACAGAAGTGTGAATGTAGTGAATCTTCTTTGTGTTCATGAAAATGAATAGTTGCAATTCTGGGCAGAATGATTGAAAGATAGTTAAATTTTATTTTAGTTGGTGTAGCATGAGAACCTGGCTTTTCTGAACAGTATGTGTGCAGGGCGTGAAGTGCCAATATACCATGGTTGTGATGTAACTTCTCTGCAGGAAATACTTTTTCTAAGCATTTGATGCACTTTGTTATGCTTCTGTCACATTCTTAAAATACGTAAACTTAAGTTACAACCATTTGAGGGGAGGATAAAGTTGTCTGTTAAAGTTTATTGAACGTGGAAGGTGTGATTAATTTTCAGGAATGCTAAACTAAAACTGGCACAGCATGAAGAGGAGTGCTTTTTAGCTGGGTTTTGTCTGTGGTCTGGCTGGCAAACAAGTGCCAGCCCAGCAGTAGGAAGGAGTGAGAAGAGGAAGGTATCCAGGGCTTGGGCTACCTACTTTGGTGACAACAGAGTCTTAGGCCAGTCTAAATCAGTCTGAAATTACAGCTTTGGTGGACATCTCATTTTTTTCTTTTCACCCCAGTGCAATCAAGGTGCACCTTAACCATTTTCACACTTTGACTGCAACTGCATTCAGGTTCTCGTTCCAGTATCTTTTTTTCCCCTCAAGAAGGCAGCTGTTTTCTGTTTATATAGATTTCACTCAAGTTACACTGTATTTGCTAATGACCATTTTTTACAAAAGTAGAAATTCTGTTCTTTGCTCCTTATGAGACTTAAAGGTGATGGATGCAGATGCATTTACTCTACCTTAGCCCAGAGGAAAGCAGTGGATAGGAGTAAGTAGCAGCTGTAGACACCTGCTGAACCTTTGCACATTCTTCCGATCTGAAGCTTTGATTGCGGATACAGTATGTGATTTACTGGGAAATATTCCTCGGAATTTGCGTGAGCCCTACAGCCACTCTCAGTCTGTGGTAATAAGTAGTCAAACCATGTGGTGATGACTTAACTTCCTGCTCTTGTGTCAGTTAATGGCTTTTAATTTGATTCTTTGTGGTAGGATGACTTGAACTAGTTAAAAGTTCTGTTTGGCTCCTTTAGAGGGAAATTGGGTGAGGGAAAAGTAGAAACCAGAAGCAAATAGAGCCACTTCCTAACCTAGAGTGTTGTGGGCTGTGCCCACGTTGTGTTGAAACCTACTCCCTCTGCCAGTGATGGTGGCAGAGCTGTGTGGGCAGCTCCTGCCAGCCATGGGGTGTGCCCCCTGCATCCTGCCTGTCTGGTTCTCCTCCAGCTGCATTCCCAGCTGCCTGGAGCTGGCAGGAGCTTCCCACCAGATCCTTCTGTAGGATCTTGGCAAATCCAAGCATTCCAGTGAAATGTTTAGATGCAAACTGTATTGTGGTTTAGATGAAATTAAAATTTTTGGATTAAAAAAAAGGATGGAAGAGAGATGCTTGCCTTAATAGCTGCTGTAGGGTAACCTGGTGGAAAGAGCACACAGTAGGATTTAAGAGACCTAGCTTTTAATTTATGCCTTGCCTTAGAATTGGCTTCCTTTACTTAGGATAATGCCCCAACATGCAGGTTGATGGATAAGGGGGGGCAGAGAAAAAGAGTAAGGAAGACAGTAAGGTGTCTGTCAGTTCTGTCCAGAGTTGTATAGTATCCAGTGTAACAGGGATTTGAGGAGTAGACTCCTACCCCCAGCTGGGTGGCTAGTAGTGGGGTCACCCTCTCTCTTTAGCCTAGTGCATGCTCATGTTGTTCAAGCAGACTGGAGTAGTCCCAGCGGTGCCCTACAAAACAAACTGGCAATTCAAGCACCTTATTTTGCTGTGGAGAAATGAGGTTCTTGCTATCCAGCTAAGCAAAGCAGAGCCATGGCTTGAACCTTAGCCTCTCACAGCTCAGCTAAAACCTGTAGCGACTGGGCAAACCTGGAATGAGAGTTTGTCCAGGTGCCAGACCAGAAAATCTCTGTGATTGTGGTAATGTGCAGAGCAGAAAAATCTTATTCCTCAGATGATGCTTGGTCTCTAGGCTGCAGGCGCTAGTGGGATGTATCCCTTCAGAGAGGGGTTTCCTGGATGACAAAATGTCACACTTCATCTTTGCTTGTTGTTTTCTCCTGTTAATTAGTCTTTTTTTGACTGTTCTTCACAGATTTACATGAGCCCTGAAGTTATCCTCTGCAGAGGACACACAACAAAAGCGGACATCTACAGCATGGGAGCTACTATTATTCATATGCAAACTGGCATCCCGCCCTGGGTGAACAGATATCCTCGTTCTGCGTATCCATCCTACCTCTATATTGTAAGTGTCTTTAGCAAAGCCGTAGCTCAGTTTCAGTTGAAGGGTTTCCTGTATTGATGGGAAAGCTCCACTCATATGAAAACTATCAGTGTTTGTCAGAGAGATGACATCATCCCTTTTGCTTCAGAGGAGGGAAGGAAGAAGTGGGTTTTGATCACTTAGGGGAAGACAGAGGCTGAGCTGGAGTCATCTCTGTGGTTTGTGTTACAATGTACAGGCCTCAGTTTACTGCAAGGACAGGGTTAGAACAGCGTGAAACTTCATCGAAACAAGCCCATCTGTGTTCCACTTAGCTGTTTTGCTTAGAAGTTGCAGATAAAAACTGGGGCCTGGCAAATTTGATTCTCGGGTTCTTCCAGTGTGGTACAGAAATCTGGTGAATTTGTATTGCACCAGATTTTAGGCTTTCTTGGAGTTGCTCTGAGTTCTTAAATTTGTGATAAAATCTGATTTTAAAAAGGTGGATTTTGTGCAGTTGCATGTTCTGTTCTAATTGACCAGCCCAGCTTGGAGAGGTGATAAATTGTAAGTGGGGAATTCCCAGACCAGTCGTAGTTATCTGTGACTTCCTTCTCCCACTTATTTTAGACTAACTGTTTCGATGGTCTTTTTTTATTCCAACAGATACACAAGCAAGCTCCCCCCTTAGAGGACATCGCTGAAGACTGCAGCACTTCCATGAGAGAGTTGCTAGAAGCAGCTCTAGAAAGGAATCCTAATCATAGGCTTTCTGCAGCAGACTTACTGAAACACGAAGCCTTACACCCACCCCCAGAAGAGCAGCCACGATGCCAGAGTCTGGACTCAGCATTGTTTGAAAGGAAAAGACTACTCGCGAGGAAGGAGCTGCAGTTGCCAGAAAACATTACAGGTAATGATATCAGGCTTATTTATCTTGCACTTTGTAGATTTTACTGTTTCAAAACTTGATTTGAGTGAGTGTTTAGAAACAAATTAAACTTAAAAAGCTTCTGAAAAGAGACCAGTAGAAATCCCAATCAGATGACATCAGACCCAGAGCTCATTAGTGTTATGTAAAACGCCCATTGACTTCAACAGAGGAAGAATTTAGCCTGAATTCTGCAGCTCCGGAAGGGCTGGCTCATGAAAAAGCCCTGGCAGTCATTCAGGGCACTTTGTGAGCTATAGGTTGCTGTCCTTACTTACCTTTATTTGCCACAGTATTGGAGATGTTTTATTGATACTAGTGATTTGTTAACAACAACAACAACAACAACAACAAAAGTCCAACAACCACCACTACCAAATCCAACACGTTTTGCCTTCTTAAAGAAAAAGACACGCACAAAACCATAAGTGTAATGTTGCTGAGTGTCAGCAGTACAAGCCCTTTGTTTTAAAACCAAAAATGACTGTAGGATAGAACACTGTTCCCCTTGTGCATTAGTAAGTGCTTTATGAGGGATAATACATGAACCAGTTAGGAAACTCAGTGTGTCCTCAGATAATACCAAGTCTAAGGAAGATTTAGTGCAAGCAACCTGTTAACAGGCTTCAAAATGCTTTTCGTCTAAAATATGTTAGGAGGGTTCTGAAAAAAGTCATATAAAAACTGACCACAGACAAGTGGTTTATTTGATTGTGATAAGTATTTGAAAAGATACCTATGCAAAGTTTTGGGTGCTGTAATGCATAATTGTTGCAATTAATTCACTTAACATTTAAATCAATCACAGCCTTTGCATCTAGAATGGCATTGCTCCTTCTGGATTTTGCCTTTGACTGGCTCAGGCTATCTGAATCAGTTCTTTTGAAGCTGAAAAAAATATTTGACCGTTAAACTGGAATTTTAGGTGCTTGAGATTCCAGGACACTCATTGTACAAGTATTCAGGGGAGTTCTGCCATTGCAAACCAGGTTTGGTTCCTTCAAACCTGATGTAAAAGAAAAAAAAAAAAATTAGTCCGATGGTCCCATATTTGTTCGGTATTGTCACACCCAGTAATACAAAGAGGATGTCATCTGTTTAGATGAAAATTCCCCTATAATGAAGGGGAATTCTCAGCTGGCAGAAAGTTAGTAGGTTGTTTTTTTTTCTTGCACCAAACTGCATTAGCACTATGGCTCAGAGGATGAGGAAGCTCTGCCTAGCTGTCCCAGCTGATGGAGATTTTTTTTTTAAATAGTTGAACACACTTGCGGTTTTCAGTAGCAAGCTGCTTACCTTTCTTTGCCCTAGAGTTGCGGGTTGATTTGTTATATTTTATTTTGAGATTTATGTTATATTGTCCTTAAAAATGAAGTTTTCTAAACCACAGATAAATATACAAATTATTCCAGTAATGTCTACAACCATGAACTGAACTAATGTAGCTATTTATGCAATAATGACATGCTTTGTCTGTTTCCTTTTTAGATTCATCATTGTGTACTGGGAGCATGGAAGAGTCAGACCTGCTAAAGAGACAAAGATCACTCTACATAGATCTTGGAGCTCTAGCTGGTTACTTTAATATTGTTAGGGGACCACCAGCCTTAGAATATGACTGACACCATTAACATTTTGTGTCAGCAGGTCAGAAATGAACCTCTACCTCTTAAAACTTGATTTTCAAATTAGTACATAAAAATATTGCCACTGTAGGCTGTCAAATGTGAATCGTGTTTAATTGCACAGATGGTTAAGCTAAACCCTTAGGGGCTCTGATAAGCTGATCCCAAGCAACAATATTTGTGTGTCTGCTGGTTTACCAACAAGAAGATGGCAAAAAGAACAATGCTGGGAATGTGTTAATCCAGGATATCTTCCTGTGCTGGGCCTTGCACTTTTATAAAACTTGTAATATATGCTTGCAAATACTGCTATGGGGGGAAAAAATAATTGAGCATGTGGGCTGTAAGATTCAGGCTCTCTGAGCTGTCCTTGGAGAAAACCTTCAAAAAAAAAAAGTCCTTGATTTAACCAGTCAAAGACTGGTTCAATCTTGTTCTGTCTTTGAGACTTGGCCAGTCTCTGGTCATTCTTAATGAAAATCAGGTCTCCTTTAAGCTGAGCTATTGTCTGTCAGCTCTTTCTGGAGTCAAAGCATCACTTGGTTACACGTATGTTTTAACTTTGCATCTTCCCTGTGCTGTCAGAGCTAAGCAGGGCACTGTCCCCATTATCTGCAGGTGGAGGGAATCCTTCACTGGCTATATGGGTTAGCTTTGGGAATAGCACAGCAAGCTGGCCCTAGCAAAGCACGCAGGTGACTCTACCTGCTTCCTATGTTAAGGCTACTGCAAGGATATCTTGGGTAGTACTCAAGGGTAGATCAAATGTTATTTCCTATTGATAACAGTGGGCAGGCTCCAGACTCTTGCTTTTTAATACATTAAAATTGTACACGTGTATAATTGCTGTGAGTGCTATGGTTTGGAAAGCGTGTCATTAGTGACAAGCTGTGTTTATGTTCCTATGGAAATGGAATTATATTGTTCTTGCTGTGCCTCATACATTTGAAACGTGATGTTTTGGATGATAGTAAAACTATGTAAACTGCATAGTTCTGTACATCCCATGGGATGAGAACGTAAACTTTTATAAAACCCTCTTTGATGCTTAGGATGATTCTTTATAAGCATTTGTGTTAAAATGGCATACTGTGTATGTTGTACACTGAATCTTTTCTGAAGCACAGTCTTTTTCATATGTCTGTTATTTAATGCTGCTTTTACATAATACACAATCTTAAGCAGATGATTTCTAGTTTGATACTGATATGGTCAAATGAATAAATCCAGCTCAGTGCCTTGAGACGTGTTTGCTCTGTTCTCTCATCTTTGAAAACAGTGTGGGGCTGTAACTGTATTTGGGCCAACCTCCCCTACCATGGCCCAAGAACACTACGTGCATCATTCCATTTATCGGGGAGTCGGGTGAAAGTCATTGTTGATGGATTCTGGACTCTGGTTACAGACGATGAGTGTTTCTGACAATCTCATTCTCAGACCCCAGCACTCCTTCTGCACTGCCTGATACTGCACAGCAGTTGTGTGTACAACATGCAGCGCTTCAGTTCTGATGTAAATTGCTGTAAAAAATCCTGCTGGGAATAACCCACCTGCTCCAGTACTTTGTGCAAAATCTCTAGATAACCAGCTGCTTTGAGGAGAGCTGTGTAAGGGAGCTCTCTTCATATTTATCCTGTCTGTAGCAATCAAAATATTTGGAGATTAAATTTCAGTGTAGCTCACTTAAAGAAAACATGACCTAACGGTTTGGGTGCTCACCTTTGCCTTGAGCGACATGGGTTTAATTTTCAGATCTTTTGCTGATGGCTTTTGATCTTTAATGAGTTTCACAGAATTAGTAGGAAGCAGCTGTTCAGGTGACTGGAAGTGAGTTTAAAATGTCTTCCACAGTTTCCCTTCTAGAAAATGAAGGTGTTTATCCTTACCAAATAGTGGCTAGTTATTATGCAAATGCTTATTAAGTGCCTACATACTTCAACAATAAGATCTATGTTGAAATTATATAGATTACATTACATTGGGGAGCTCCTACCATTGCTTGAAAAATTTAACAGTGATTTTTCTTCTCTTTTTTCTTTAATACCAGTTAAATGATTTAGCATGGAAATCTGCCTATGGGAACAAGCTCTCTATTTAATATTCATTTTTACTATACTACTGTTATATCACAGAATCATCTAGGTTTGAAAAGACCTGGAAGATCATCCAGTCCAACCATTAACCTATCACTGACCATTCTCAACTACACCAGATCCCTCAGCGCTATGTCAGCCCTACTCTTAAACACCTCCAGGGTTGGGGACTCCACCACTGCCCTGCGCAGCCCATTCCAACACCTAACAACCCCTTCTGGAAAGAAATGCTTCCTAATATCCAGTCTAAACCTTCCCTGGTGCAACTTGAGGCCATTCCCTCTTGTCCCATCTCTTACTACTTGGTTAAAGAGACTCATCCCCAGATCTCTGCAGCCTCCTTTCAGGTAGCTGTAGAGGGCGATGAGGTCTCCCCTCAGCCTCCTCTTCTCCAGACTAAACACTCCCAGTTCCCTCAGCCGCTCCCTGTACGACCTGTGCTCCAGACCCTGCACCAGCTTCGTTGCCCTTCTCTGGACACGCTCGAGTCATTCAATGTCCTTTTTGTAGTGAGGGGCCCAAAACTGAACACAGGAATCGAGGGGCGGCCTCACCATGCCGAGTACAGGGGTCAGATCCCTTCCCTGTCCCTGCTGGCCACGCTATTGCTGACACAAGCCAGGATGCCATTGGCCTTCTTGGCCCCCTGGGCACCCTGCTGGCTCCTGTTCAGCCGGCTGTCAATCAACACCCCCAGGTCCCTCTCTGACTGGCAGCTCTCCAGCCACTCCTTCCCAAACCTGTAGCGCTGCTGGGGGTTGTTGTGGCCCAAGGGCAGCCCCCGGCATTTGGCCTTATGGAAACTCCTGCAGTTGGCCTCAGCCCATGGCTCCAGCCTGTCCAGGTCTCTCTGCAGAGCCTCCCTACCCTCGAGCAGATCAACACTCCCACCCAACCTGGTGTCACCTGCAAACTGACTGAGGGTGCACTCGATCCCCTTGTCTAGATCATCAATAAAGATGTTAAACAGGAGTGGCCCCAAAACCGCGCCCTGGGGGACACCACTCGTGACCAGCCACCAACTGGATTTAACTCCGTATATCTTCACACTATGCTACTAATAAGTGAGCAGGTTACCCAAAGCAATTACAGTTTATGTAATGCCAGATAGATTTCTCTTTTTATGCACATCCACAAGTCTAAACAGTATGAGGCTTCATGATAAATATCACTTCAGAAGACTGGTACACAATCAACAAGTAGCTATTTGGGTACACTGAACACCAAGCATTGCTACCAGCTCTGTGAGCTTTCTAATAGCTGAGGACTGTTTTTCAGGTGAGCCTCAGGCTGCAGCTAAGCAGTGATTTCTCTCTGCAGTAATACATCATATCCCAAGCATATCACATCCCTCAAGCATATTCCACAGTGGTTGATCCCTGCGTTGTGTAGGTTCACCTGTTTGTGTCACCGCCTGGGGAATGAGGTCAGGGAAATGAACTGGGTTAGAAATAACATGGGAGGGGGGAGATTGTTTTTCTAATCTGGTTGCCTGAGCAGCTGTGTACTTGGAGTAATCAAGGCTGGAGGTGAGGGGGAGGGAAATGAAAAGGCATGGTGGGAAAACCCTGCCAGCACAAGCCCCAGGGGGATGGCTGGTCTGCTCAGAGCTGTGGGATTTTGCAAATTGTTTGCCACTGTGTTGATTTTTGGTGTGTAGTTTCATTTTCTATTGGGGGAATACTGAGACTTGTGCTAACTGCAAAGGAAAGTACAAGTGTGTGGAGAAACCCACTGCTCACGGTTAACTGAGGAAGTTAGGAACCCAGAGGTACCTTTCCTCCTCCTGGGTTTAGCAGGTTTTATGTCCTCAGATCAGCCTGTAACCCTGAGACTGAGCCCACTACCATGGCCTATAGCAGGTTTGACGATTGTTTGAAGATGTGCTGAACTCTCCACTCTGTTTTGAAGGAAGACCCGGTTTAGGTCTTTGAAAAAACATGGGGGGAGAGAGAGAAGTTAAAGTCCCTTTTTCCCGTTTTCTTACAGCTGCTGCTTCTTTGCACCCCTCACCCACCCTTCTCTCTCCCATGCCTCCTGCAAGCAAGAGAGTTTTGCTTGCTGCCTGGTTTCTGGAGGTTTCATAACTCCTACATTCAGTCCCTTGTTTTTCTAATCCTGCAAAAATATCAGTGGACAGAAGAGATGGGGAGGAGCAATTGAAAGTAGAAATAAGGGTTTTCTTGCCTGGATGTTAAATGAGCTTCCCTGTTAGCCCAAATGGAAGTTTGAGAGAAGCTGCAGTAGAAGTACAGAGCAGTTTGCCAGGCCCTCCCCATGTACAGTGCTGATGGAGATGGGGAGGGAGGCTCTTGGCCAAGTGTTCGTCCCCTTGTTGGGATGTTGGGAAAAATGGGGTGTTGCTCTTCTGGCTAAGTGGCAGAAGCAAAGAAGCAGCTGGAAAAGGGATACTGGAGGTGTTACCACTGCAGCAGCTGGGGAGACCAAATGGGTCAGTTGGGAAGGGCTGGGGCAAAGAGACCTGCATGGTGCTGTGTGTCGATGGCTAGAAACAGCTTCCCTTGGTGCTGTACAAGCTGCTTCCAAGGCAGGCTCAGACAGCATGGGCAAGGACTTTGCTTCCTATGCTTTGCTTGGCATCCTGTGCCCAAGGAGGAAGGACTTAGCAAATTCCCAGTGAATGAGTACCAAAGCACTATTTGGAGCCTGAGCATCCTTTCCTTTTTCTTACAGGAAAGGCCCAGCTGGTCAACTTCTAAAACTGTCACCATCTGAAGATAATCATTTGGGCAAAAGGAAAACAAGTCCTTTATAAATGGTGCGTGCTGGCCAAACTCAGCAACGCCCAAAAAAATCCAGCTGGCCCTTGGGAGTGGCTCATAGTCCCATAGGTGCACTTGTGCTACTTCAGGCTGGCCACCAGAAATAGCTCTGCCGACTGATACTGGGGCATGGTGACTCACTGGGGAGGAGGTGAGCTGCTGCGACAGCCACGAGCCTTTGGTCACCTGCAACCACACCTCCCATGCGAGGCAGCACCACGTGCCACCTGAGCAGTGGGATGACATGGCCACAGGGGCAGCCTGAGCATGGCCAGGAGAAGGTGGGTTTGTCTGAGCCTGTCAGAGGGAAGAGAGCCAAGGATGCTCGAGAGTGAGGTGTGCAGGAGAAAATGCCTGTGTGTAGCTGATTCTCGTCAAAGCGACATGCCATAATAGCATCATGCTCACCCATAAATCTGGTCTCAAGTGTGAACCTTATTCCAGTAAAAGCCAGATTCAGAGGAAGGATGCTACTGTAGTGACCATACACAGAGGGACAGTGCCCCA